GCCGGGGTTGGGGGTGCCCACCCCCATCCCCCTCTCTCTATTCTCTGACTTTGTCACTTTCCTTCTCCAGTCTGCCAAAATCGCCAAGCGCAGGTGTCTGCCCATGCGTGTTGTGGCCTGCTTGTTGGTCCATTCCACCTTATCAAACACTCTTGCATTCCGTTCTTGCCAGATTGTCCTGATTGCGGAGGCTCTGACCACTTGGCCAACGTAGCCCCATCCCTTATGCAGGCTTGCATCGCCTGGCACCCCACCCAGAAGAACCCAACGTTTGTCCCATTGAAAAGTCGTGTTCGTGAGTCTGTCCCAAGATCCTCTGACCCATTCCCAGATGCACCTTGAGCGCGGGCAGTCCCACCATAGATGTATCGTTGATTCAAATGCCCAATTGCATCTGGCACATGTCAAATCAACTTGAACTCCATGCTCGACTAACCAAATTGAGGACGGGGTAGCCATTAACGAAATCTGCCAGAGTAGCGATGCTGATCTCTGGGAGGGAATCATTTTAAGTTGCTCCCAGCATCGTCCTAAATCCTTATCTATAATAGCTGGCTCTTCTGAGATGACTCTCGCCCATGTAGCCCTTGCTGTTATTTGTGGGGTCTTCAGCGACATAACTTGGTCATAACCTACTCTCTGATGATAGTCTAGCAAGCACAGGTTCTCTCCATTCTTCCCTTTCGCTCGCCATTCCCAGCTTTTCGGATCTACCTTCAACTCACGTAGTGGTTTACCCTTATTGAATAGGACGCATTGTATTGTACCATCCTCTGTCACTGATTCGAAGACACGAACTTGAGTCAAGTCCTGTCCCAGTGGCGGTTGGGAGATTTCTGGTATCTCGATCAATATATCGTTTCCCATCGTGGACCAGCACTGAATTGTGTGTTTCCCATCCGGCTGAATGCTCAGTAATTTCCAATACTGGTTGTTGGTGTCTGATTTGCAAGCAAACCAGGTTCCCGGAGGGTCAATCCCATTAGGGCCGATGATTAACTTCCAGTCTTCTGGGATGGCTTTAAACCACCAGTACCTACCGCATTTTTAGGCCGTTAACGCGTGGATGAATCGGCCTACCGAATGTGTCTGAATTCATTCGAAACGGCACGGCCTAAAAAAGCGGTAGGTACTGGTGGTTTAATGATAGCATTTCGTTTGTCTTCTATGTGACGCATTCGTCCCAGTTTCAATCTTAGTTGTTCTTCGGATAACCACGTGCCTCTCAGACCGTCCCACATATCCCCTATCCTCACTACACCTTTCTCAATCCAAGATCGACCAAAACTACCTGAGGCCGTATCGGCCTTAAACCATTCACCTTGTGAGTTTCGGATGTGAGTGTTTTCAAACAACAATTGTTCCAAAACCTCTGCTTTGGACATTGGGAGCCTACTCACATCCGGGTGGAGGCTCTTCCAAGCGTGGACAATTGCAGACCAAAAGGGAGAACGAATCATTCGACGTTGATACGAGGGAATAAAGATGACTAACCATACATCCTCATGTCTTTCCAAACTCCATTCGCGAGTCAATATGTGCTCTACCAGAAGCACCCAATGGGGGGCAAGGGAGGTTAAACATACCCTAACCACCCACTTAATCAACATTGCATCATTCTATCTTTTGGGATCAAGGATCCCCAGCCCCCCTTAATGTCTAGGAAGACACAACATCTCCCAGGCCACTTTGGAGATGAAGTTGGCATCGTCTTCTGCATACGGCTTCCACATAAATTTAGCTGCCCGTCTCTTGATGAGCACATACAGGTGAGAACCAACAGCTCTTACTGTACCTACAAACCAGAGCAGGGCAAACAGAGCTCCGTTCAGGACCATCGCGCGGCCAAATAGTGAGAGATGCGGGGTTTTTCCCCACATGACCAGTCTTTGAATGGTTTTTTGAAGCAATATATCTTCCTGATTATCTGAGCAGTCGATCAACGAGATTTGGACCCCAAGGAATCTTTCAGATTCTTCCTCCCGAATACGTTTCATGCCCCACTGAGAATGTAGATTATAAGCCACTGGGAGAAAGTGGACAGATTTATGCCAGTTTACGGCTGCTTCCGAATAATGCGAAAATTCATCCAAGCAGGTTTTTAATGTCGTCAGAGATGAGACCGAATTCTCAGAAACAGCGAAAAGGTCATCAGCCAAGGCTTTGACCTTATATTCTGACGTTCCAACTGGCATTCCCCGGATTTGGGGGGGAAATTGGGGGTTAGCGCGAATGTTATTCAAAACCACCTCGAACTGAACTGCAAACAACAGAGGTGCTAAAGGGGATCCCTGTCTCAAAGAACGCGAAAGGCAAAACTCCCTTGATAATTGACCATTGATCATGATTGATGCGGTAGACAACGTGTACAACACCTTGACCCAGCAAATGAAGTTATCACCAAAGTCTAGCCACTTGAGCGTTGTGATCACATACGACCAGTTCACTATGTCGTATGCCTTCTCAAGGTCAAGTAACAGGACTGCAATGTCACAGTTTTCGTTATGAATAACTTCCAGGGTTTCAATCGCTGTGACAATGTTGTCGAAGATCGAACGACCCCGAATGAATGCCGCCTGATCTGGAACAACAAGGTTTGGTAGGTACCTTCCCAAGCGCTTTGCTAGGATCTTCGCCAGCAGCTTATATGACATATTTAGAACAGATATAGGGCGTCAATTCAGATCTATCCCCTTTTTTTAACAACATTGAGATAATGCCTCTACACATAGTAGCGGACAACTTTCCCCCTGTCAGAACCTGGTTATATGTTTCTACCAGGCTGTCCCCCACAACATCTCATATACATAGGAATAGTTATGTAGGTAGACCATCGCACCCTGGAGCTTTCCCTTTAGCCATTGAAGCCAAGGCTGCTCGAGCTTCCACTGTGGTGATGGGGCGGTCTAGGTCCAGTTTCCCTGTGTTAGAGAGACAGCAAACTGTGTTGTCCCAGTGGTGATTCCCTTCGTTTAATTGTTGGGTGATCTCAGCGCCCTGTGTTCGTGAGGTCAGAATGTCCTTGTAATAAAGAGAGGCGTACTCACACAGCCTAGTAAGTTCTTTTGCCTTCAGTGCGTCCACATCAAATGGATGTTGCAGTTCATTCATTGACGGCGTGGTCTGGGAGGGTGCTAGTTTACGAAAGGACTCTTGAGTCATCCGATCGTAGACTACAATCCCCTTGACCGTTACCCGATCTACCCAGATCTCGGACTTCTTTTGCTGATGAGCATCCCATTCTGTCAAGAGTCTAGCCCGCTCTCTTCCCCACACCAATTCAGATATCGGGTGGTCCTTCATCCTATCCTCCGCATAGCTAATCTTCCTTAGCATCTCATCCTCAAATTTTTGTCTATCGTAAGCCAAAATACGAGAGAACATACTCAACAAGTTAGAAAAAATATTTGTACGAGCATCCCACCATGCTTCGATGGAATCGTATTGAGTTTTGGCTGCTTGCCAATCTGACCAGAACTTCCTCATCCATTCTACACGACCTGGGTCACTCAGATTTTGAATATTAAACCTGAACAACCCTTTTCCTCATGACAGACCTTGAGTGTGCAAACTAAGGATGACTGGGATGTGATCCGACATAAGTTGAAATACCTCTCTGATGAAGTCCACGGAATCCCAGGCTGATGCTGATGTGAGAAAAAAATTCAGGCGCCTTTGAGAGAAGCCTAGGTCTCTTTCTGCAGTTCGAGCACCAAGTGTACCCATCCTGATCAGGATGACACAATCTATATGGATCAATAAGCTCCCTCACCTCCATTAGATTCACCAATGATAACTTATCAGGCGCTGTTTGGGTACCTGGATGGGAGAGAGAGACGTCTAGCGATGTATTCCAATCTCCGCTGTACACAACTGTGTCTGCAACCGGTAAGACATACAAGAGTTCCCGATAAAAGACTGCTCTCTTACTAGGTTGAACAGGGGCGTAGATTGACGCAACAATCCAAGATTGGTCTGCAATATCAAACTTTATCCACGCCCAACGACCCCAGAGATCGATCTCGTAATCAACAATTTCAATCTCAGTGTCTCTGTGTACAAGGATCGCGACCCCGCCCTTGGTTCCCTCTGCAGGGGACCAAAGTTGGGGACCATCCCACCAAGTACCAAGAGAGTTAATCCTTTCTTCGTTTAATTTTGTTTCCTGTAAACAGACTATTTGGATTTTATTTACATGATTCATGATTTGAGTCTTTCGCGTTTATGTTTACCGGACTGATCCACGAGACCCCTCACATTCCAAGTGGCTAACTTAATTTTTCCCATTGCCTGTTCTGTTCCCTTTCGTTTGGATGAGGGATGCCATTGGAGTGTTGGAGCTTACCGCCTGTTGTGATAACTCTCTAGTTACAAGCCAGGAAGACGTGAGAGCCTTCCTGATGAACTGAGATGCCAGCTTCTTTTCTCGAACCAGCTTGCCATCCAGCTCGTACAGGAATTCGGTCGAATTTGCAGGTTCTGCTTTAATCTGGCGGAGATCCTGTTTCTTTGCATCAATAAATACTGAAAGAGGAATCAACCGAAGTCCTTCGGACTCTAAAATTTCCAACTGGCCCGTTACAAACCGAACATCAGCCAGAGGGCAGAAAAATTTCAGTTTCCTACCCTGACCAACTGGATGATCCATCAAAAATCTCGGGACCAACATATCTGGGATCAGCCTGAAGGTAAACTTGTCGTTGATTGCGGTTCGGATGATATTCGTTAGTATTGACGGCATGGGAAGATCAGGGGAAGGGATTGTAATGAAATTTATGGAGGCATCAAGAGTTGCCCATGCCAGTACCCACAATGAGTTTCTAGCATATGAGAAGAATATTGGCAAGATTTGTACCTCCAAATTATTCAGCTGACCCTTATCTAACGTCATAGGATGACGTTTCCTCGTCGTCTTGGTTCCTGGAGTCCCCACTTCCCGGATACTACCTTCAGCCTGTGAACTGGAGGAAGCCATCGAGGTGTTTGACCCTTCCCCTCGGATTGCCGCATTGGATTCTTCATCAAAACTGAGGCGGCGTTGTTTGCCGCTTTGTCCGCTGCGTGTTCTCAAGATGCCCTGTATTCCTCTGTCTCCCGAGACGCCATGAGGAGACATTCCGTCATTTGGACCGTGGTGTGAGTTCCTTCTGACTGCTGTGCCAGACATACTCGCTTGCACGGGGGGGGGGGGGGGGGGGGGGCGAAACCCCCACCTCCTATTCCACCCCCACCTCCCAATCCTCCCGCACCACCAACTCCTCCCCCATCACCAAGTCTTCCCCCCCCACCAATTCCTCCTGCGGCACCAATTCCTCCCGCACACCCTATTCCTCCCGCCCCACCAGTTCCTCCCAACCCTCCAATTCCACCCATCCTTCCATTTCCTCCCACACTTCCGAATCCACCCACGCCTCCAATTCCTCCCCCACCACCGATTCCTCCCACCCCTCCGTTTCCTCCCATAACCCCAATTCCCGCCAAACCTCCAGTGCAATTTACTCCCCCTCCTCCCGTCTGGTATGTTGGAGTTGCTGGCATCCCCCAGGGGTAAAACCCCGGAGGTTGGCGGTTGATTGCTCCCATCATTCCGTCTAGAGGTCCTACACTCTGCTGCAACCATGGGATGAAGGCCGAAGTTCCTGCCCGCGAGTAGCTCATGTTGTAAATCGGATTAACATGTTGTTGGCCATATGCTCCTCCCAGCTGTTGTTGATGCTGTTGTTGGCCATGAATCCCTGCTTGCTGCTGTGCTTGAAGTTGTTCCCCTACTCTCGAATTGCTTGGTGATGTCTGCATACCTGCGGCCAGGTGGCCTGAGTAGGCTGGCCCTAGATTTCGACCTTGATTCGTCGCTGTTGATTGTGACGGGATAGCAGCCGCTTGAGACTGTTGTCGGCCGGCTCTTCTGCACTCATCCTCGGTGTGAAAAAACGCTCGACATCGACGGCATCTTGGAGTAGAAGACGAAGCTAGCCTAACTTCCAAAGAGTCCCCCTCCCACGTTTCCACCCAGATTTTATTTTTCATATTAGCTCTCGCCTGAGGATCAATATCAAACTTTATATTGATGAGGGATGGCTTCTGCCTATCTGGCTCTTAGGGACGGGTGAAGACAACCGGTCCGATCGCCTTTCGAACATGGGCTTCTAAATAAAGCATCGCATCCAAAGGCATTTGGACAGCAATAATCCAGAATGTGGACTCCTCTTCCGTTCTCCTTTGCTCTCTTAGCTGTGCTTTCGTGAGCCTTGGTTTGAATTCGAGGACATAGCGAGTAGAGCCAAGAGTAATCTCGTCTGACCCTTTTGTTATCATCCACAAAGCTATGGCACTGCTCTTTGCTACGTAGGAGGCTACGTTGGGACTCACAATTTTGACTTGACCACGTTTGAAATTGATGGCCTCGAGATCGCCGTCCTGGACCCGTTCATCTTCAAAGGCCCTGATGACGTCATCCTTGACCTTCTTCGGCAAGAACCGAGCGCCTTCCTTGAAGATGATTGTGATAGTGTGTTCCTTGAGCCACACAATCTTCGTTTGGTCTATCCTAGGGATAACTTTGAAAAAAACTTCTCGGCCCTCGGTTCGCATTTCACCCGGATCGATATTCATTGGTAGTATGCCCTCATCATAGCAAAGTCTAGCTAACTCTCGGATGTGCTCCACTTCCTTGTTCAGATTTGTTTCTGGCACTGCTGGTGGGGAGCCGTTTCCTTCCATCTCCGCTTCTGTCATACAGATGGTTGAATATCACACATGTAGGTAGGGTAATCGCACAGACTGTCCTCGATATGATTCAGCAAACCTATCACGACTCATGAACTAGGCTATCTTCCGGGGGAGGAGCGATGGGATACTAAGGTGACTACAACTTCCCGTTCGATGGCGGGTAGCTGACCAACGTCATGGCGATGGTGACGACAACCTTACCTACGGAGTCGCTATCACGACGGTAGACGCTTCCGCTATCTCAGTCTTACCGTTACCGGTAGCACGTCGGTTGGTCCGAGCGCATCGTAGCGCCGGCGGAACCGGCCCGCAGTCCCCCCATCCTTCCCTCCCTTCCATGACAGGACTGTTTGATTTTCCTGTATAGCCTTAGGAGTAGTGGTAGGTAGTGAAAAGAAAGATATGTGAGGAGAGAGAAAAATATATGGCTGTCCCCCGATGAGGAGAAGGCAGCTTTAAAAAAAAAAAAAAAAATACAGACCCAGGTTTGAATTGTGTAGGGCGGCCCCACCAGGCTACATCTGGGCCGATTTCCAATCTCGGGTCTGGCCGAGACATCTCGGCCATGCCCAATCTGGGGTGTGGCCGAGACATCTCGGCCGTGCCCAATCCGGGGTGTGGCCGAGACATCTCGGCCGTGGCCCAACCATTGGGATTTTTTTTTTTTTTTTTTAGCTTTTCCCCTCTGACACCACGGCTGACCCCTGTAAATATGACACCCAGTCTTACATGGCCATCGGTACTTCCGTCGCCTTTTTGCAGCCGTTTTGATTTCTTTTCCTTTCGTTTTTTTTATTTTTTTTTATAGATTTGTTATTAGATTTTGTTGTAGATTTTTTTTTTTTGTTTGTCT